GGGTGTGGCAGATCAACTTGCCTAACTCAGTGAGGCTATGTACTATTCTCTGTAGTGCAACTTACCCACTGTAAGACTGTTCTCAGAGCAGAGACAGACAGTGTGGTGACCCCTGATGATCTTCTTGATATATGCAGAATAAACAGGTGCAATACACAATATTTTGGAGTTAAGAAACAATTGTATGTAGTGATTATCTTATCGCATCAAGTGTATGTTGTGTCCTATGTGGAATATGGGCCTGTGTGGTAGCTTTAAAAGGAATACTTGACCCCCACAATGACATCTGTATAGAAATTACTCACTGAGTTACATTAAATTTGTGAGAGAAAAAAAACTTGCCTCAGTGGTGAACAAAGAATACAAAAGCAGAGAAAATTCTTGATGAATTGAGGTAACAACAGCAAAACTAAAAATATCAACAAACATACATGTTTGCTTATACCTCAATATTTAAAACAATTCTGCATAAACAGTCTCACGCATGGATGTGCATTTCATTGAAATCCCACCTCCCAGCTTGTGTATCAGCCAGGACCTCTGCTGTCACTCACCCACGCCTGTCGCTTAGAGGCAGGATATGAAAAAAATACTTGAGCAAAGTTCAAACGCATGCTTGAGACTGTTTATGCAGGAGTGTTTCAAATTGTTTGATGCAGTTTCAGCTAAAATGCAAGTGTTGGGAAATGCTGGAAATATGACTGGGTAAATGAGGCTTGGAGTAAAACTGCAAGAGTTGTGTGAGTGTTTGTAAACTGATGTTTTGACTTGGTTTTGCTGTTGTTTCACGTCGACCCCTTTCACTTCAATTCATCAAGAATTCTCTCTGGTTTTGGAGTCTTTGTTCACTGCAGAGGCATATAAAAGAAATAAAGTTATGTTCATGAATTCAACCTACGTAGGGTGGGTAACAGATATACAAATATATATACCCATCATTTTGAGGGTGAAGTATTCCTTTAAACACACCTCCTTTCATTGTTATTGAGGTTAGTTTGTGGCCAGAACCTGAGCCAGATGTACCTGGGTGCAGAGCCAACCACATAATACATTTCTCGTGAGCTGATGTGTGCATATGAAATCTCATCTGTTGTTTACTTCTCAAGTCCTACTGTTTATCCAGCGTGTTGCTTCAGTCTAGGCCAAAGCAGAGCAAAGAGCCACAAATGCATGAGTGCATGATTATGCTGAAGCTCTGTAATAATACCTTTCCTTCTGTCATCCTCTATCCAGCCAGCTACAGTGAAGACTTTATGATTTAAAGGAAGACAGATAAATGAAACGCTGTTCTGGAAACTAGATTGTTGAATGACAAATAACTCATGGCTTGACCAATGTTGGTGTATAGAACATTTGCATATATGCTAAAATTCTGGGTGGAAAAAATAGAGCAGTTTCCCATTTACTTACACTGGAGCATTGAGAATTAAGAATTCAAATTAGCTTTGGGACAAGACAACCAGTTGACTCATTAATGTTAACTTACTGTTGACTTCTTATCAACTGCCAAAACTTATTCCTAATTCACCAACCAGTAAACGTGCAAACGGGCTGAAATGAATGAGCAGTTATCAGACGTTTTACTGCAGGGTGACATTTTTGTTGTTAGCCGCTAAGCTAGCTACCTTTCTTAGCTTTGTCCGCGGGGATATTCTGAGCTCTGAGCCGCTGGTCCAGGATGTACAGCATTTCTCCGCCGAGGTTGATGAACAGCAGAGGCAGAGTTCTTGAAGACATGGTGGCGTTTGGACGGTTGAATATCCTCAGAAAACGTAGGTAGCTAGCGTCTGTAGCTAGCTCGGATGCTTGTTGGTAGGGGCTCTGTCTGTTTGGTAAAGCCTCTTCTGGTTGCCAGGCCACGAAGCAGACAGCCAATCAGCGCGCTGTGTGTTATGACGTATACGGAAACGGGCGGGGTCAAGTTTGTGTGAAACTTTCAGTTAGACCCTTCACCACAGTGTGAATAACTATAGGCCTTAACAACCTATGGCCTGGATACACAGGGTTTTGACGTGTTTGCCTATAAATATATAAATATTTAAAATATATATGGGTCGCAGCAAACCTCCACCAGCTCTAAAAGATGGAGAGAATAAGGGTGGAGGAATATAATTGCTGCTGGACATTCTGTGGGCAGGTGAATGCCAATCACTCATATATTCTGGTCATGTATGAAACTACGAACATTCTGGCACAGGATTATTTTGATTCTTGAGAGACCTATAGGTTACAAGATCCCAAGGGACCCATGGATTGTTTACTTGGCATTAATACTTGAGGACATTATTTATAAGAAGGACTTAATCTGTTTAAAATCCTTATACTGGCATGCAAAAAGGCCATTAAACCTGACCCTTCATCTACAGAACAGCGAATGGACATTTCAGAGGAACTATATTCCAAGGAAATACTGATCTTTCACCTGAGGACTAAAGCAAGGGCACATGTACAATGCTGGGATAAATCGACGGTCTATAAAAGAAATGAGTGTTATTTGGTGTTATTTAGCCTGAAGACATGTATTAAAAGTTGTAAACTGATTTGCACACATCCAAATTATACTTTACCAGTAAGATTACCTTACAATCTCAATTAACTTATGCATTGTGTTCTCATCATGTCCCCTGACCTCCAGAGGTCACCACACACTTCTGCCTTCTTGATCTTGTGAAATACTTGATACTTTAACCTATTCAACCCTTTAAAAATCCATCTAATGAAAAAAAAAAAAAGGAAATTACTTTCTGTTACTCATTCTGTCGCTAAAATGCTGATGTTGAAATGTTGATATCTCAACAGATGTCCATGCTAAGGACTGTTTCTCATGTAGTCACCAGCCACAAAGGCTGGGAACTACTGATTTATGAGCACATTCCTTTTCACCAAATAACACACACAATACTCATCTGTTCTGGTGGCTCAGCACATCATAATCTCCTACATTAAAGGTCCAGTGTGTCAAATTTAGTGTGCATTTATATCTACATAAAGTGCTGCTCTACGGAGGTCACTATTTTGTGTCTTTTTTCCCCCACTTAAATCTTTATGAAAACTATTTTTGTGACATTGATATGTCAGTTACAACAGAATAATGAAATAATTTAAAATAATAAGAGCTAATGAAACAAAACTGCTTGGGTGAATACACATTTTACAGCCTTAAGGATCAGTGTATCTATTGATTTTGAGTCTTGTATAGAGTCCATTTTTCTAATTTTCTTTCTAGTTATGCTTCTTGTAGTCTCAGTATGTGCTAATTTCTCCATGAAAAAGATTTCTTCCACAATAGTTAGCCACTGGTCGTTGGCGGTGTTTCTTTACCCCAGCTCCCACTGATAGCTGTCTTGCTTGCTACTAGTAATATTTTGATCAAATATCTTAGCCTGGTTCCAGACCATAGACCCCGCCCACTCAGCTGAGTAGGCTTGCATCTCTGGTCTGGCATACTGCAATGAATTTGTGATTTATCTCGTCCAAACGCTGGACGGACCAATGAACGCCGGGGGTCTAGCGATTAGCCAATCAGCTCCACGCTGATGTCAAGCTGTACGCCAGTGGGTAACTGGTGAGGATAGCAACAATGGCGACCGCTACAGATCCTACAGACCACATTGACGATGCTATCGAGGTATTTCGCCACTACTCGCGTTAATGGAGGACCAAATTAAGGAAGCTGCTAAACTGGATTTAACGGCGATGCAGCTGGGCGTGCACAACGACGGAGACATTTTAAACGGGCAATGCTCGCTTGTTTTCGGCACCCCCGAGGCATGGATACTAATGACGTCAGATTCTGGGTGAGTCGTTGATCTCTACTGATTGGTTAGGGAAAAAATCAAATTCCCTCCCCCTTGTAAATCGCCTTCAGTGGAAGCCATGTCAGACTGAAGGTTCTGGGAGCTTCAGTCTGACACTCAGGCTACAAATATTTATCATTTTATTCAGAAAGTGTACATAAATAAAGCACCAAACAACTGACAGGAACCTCATGTCCTAGTATGTACTTATGCTCTTTACATACAATTTCCCAAAATACAGTTATTTTCTGACATTTCTAAAAAACATGAGTGGTCCACATCAAAAGACCTGCACTCTCGCAAACATTTTTGGCAACTATGGACATGTTTACTTTTGAGTTTTGGTGTAGTAAAGAAACAAATCAGATTCTTCCATTGGGATTCCCTCCAGGTTTATGATTTGGGTTGAATGGTGTATCCTAACCTCAAAACTGAATAGATTAGATTTTCCCTTGGAGATATTTGTAAATCCTTCAACAAGACCTGGAAGCCCTTTATGGAGTTTTTTTTTTTTTTTTTTAATTTCCTCTCTTTTTATTTTTTATTCTACTTTATTTTATTTTATTATTTATTTTTAATGGTATTTTATTTTATTATTTATTCTGTTTTATTTATTTATTTCCCTTATCATATTACTGTTATCATTTTCTATGTGTGTCTATGTTTGTCTGATGTTTAAGTTTAAATATTTATTTTATTATTATCATTTTGAGTAAGGGTGGGAGCAATCTGGAAATCCATCGGTAAAAAAAACAAACTTTTTTTACAATGTAAATTGCAGAATCTGTCCTGAGAGATTAGGGTGGGAGAAGTATATGGATATGGGAGATTAGGGTACGAATTAACAGTATAGGTTCAGTTCATGTTCTCAACATTGTAGGTTTTGTATACCAACCAGAAACCAGCTCACTCTGGCATCTTTGCTATGTCACTGTATACTGCCCATAAATCTGGTAAAAAAATATATTATTAGATATTATTCTTATGTTATTTACTTGATACACTATATTGTTTCAACAGTAGCCCAGAATGGATAAACCAAACACTTGCTCTACACAGGGCCATTCGTGTTTTTGTGTCGGCCACTGTAGTTCTCCTACACACATGGGAGAAGTGTCATTTAGTTGCAATCTACTACTTTACCTCTAGATGGCACTAAATCCCACATACACACTTGACATTTAAGAGGCAAATGAAATAACATCACATAATCTATTTTGTTTTTATTGACAATCTTGTACAAAATGGTGCATGCTTAAATGTCATCAACCATGAACAAAGCATTTTATTTACAGTGAAGCAGATAAGTGCTCGCACTAACTGTCGCACAATTAGACGTACATGTAAGGATACAGGTAACAAAAATTAAATTCATTGAATTGCATAACTCATTAGCCGCTCCTTCTTTGTTGTCTGTATGAAAGCTACACCTGCTACAGGAATAAACAAATTACTTCCACAATAGCGGGACATCGTCAACAAACAGAGCATGCTGTGTATATATAGTGGACCAGAAGCCTTCGTCTTCTTAAGTTGAAACGTCTCCGTTCCTGATGCGGATTTCTCGCGCCATCCTGCAAACCTCGCATATCCCACAGAAAAAGGTCATCAAGGCGTCGTTGGTTATTGTTCCCTGTGGTTAAAAGATTTAAAACAAAATCACAAAAGGGAACGTCAGCCCTCTATGAAGAAATCTACCGCAGTTTAGGTTTCTCAACTGCAGGGAACACCCAACATTTCCTACGTTTATGAAATCTCTGTCTTTCATAAGAGCGGGTCAGTGTTCCTGTGTGAAACTTGCTGCATGAAACACCACCACAAAACAAAAGCTTTGTCTTCTTCAGACTCTGGAATATAATGCATATGAGTAACTCACCTGAATACCGTAGGTCAGTCTCATATGAGTCCTAAGGGCTGTCATGCCTCCTGGCACACAACCCAAACAGAAGCTTTCACCATACTTATTTGCTGTGTAGCAGCTCAATATAAGCGGACAGCAGCAACCAAGAGCACCTGCACAACGACAGCGTATTTCATTGTGAATATTTGAAAACAGAATTGGAGAAACATTGAACAGTGTCATATTTAAGCACCCTGAATGGTACTCACAGACAACCAAGTCACTGCAGCAGGAGCACAAGCCTGAGCTCCACTCTCCTGTTTGGACGTTTGTCCCGTAGCCGCCGGCGCCTGGTTGATGGGTGACCACTGGGTTCGACATTTTGGATAACTGGATTTGCTGTTTTGCCTTTGCTTTAGCAACCTATAGGAACACATTCAGCTGTTAGCAGAGGAATTAAGCAGACGTACAGTTTGCTGCAGGAGGAAAGACCTGAATAAATCCTTCCATGTGCCACAATTATTGTTTTTTAAATTTTCCACACGTGCTGACATTTAACGCTATGTATTGACAGAGAGGGAAATGTCATTTGACGCATCAGTACATATATTCCAGTGCTTTCCATTGGAGAATAACTCTAAGACAGCATTCACAGCATTTATAATTAGCATTTACAAGTCTCCCTGCAAAACATGTAATGTATCATCAAATGTTTCAGGGACTTCTTCTTTAACACAAAACAACACACTAGTTTTTCATCTTTAGGAGCTTTTGTGATTTGCACACAAATGATTTGATAATCGTTTCACATGTTTTAAGTGCCATATCGTTGGCAACTGGACTTGCTTGACTTTCTTGAAGACGTTTCACCTCCCATCCAAGAGACTTCGGTCCAGTTCAGCGTCTTCAAGAAACTCAAGAAAATCCAGCTGCCTACGATACAGCAAGTCAGATTTCCATGACCTTGATGACTGAGAATCCTCACCAACATCGTTTCACGTGGTTCTTAAACAGGAATATACTTGTATTTTAAAAAATCCTTCTCAGCACAGTCAGCGTGTGACAACTTAGCTACTTATGTTGGTCAGACAATATTTTGTTTCAGTACTCGTCTCACAAACTTGAAAGACTCGACTTGAAGGTCTGCAGCAATTTAAAGAATGTTATAATTCTAAATGTGAAGGTTTGACTTGACCTAGAAATGCGTCAGGCTGTAATCTTGTTGTGCTGTTAGGAGTTTACAGTGAAAGCATAACTTTTAAAGTACAAACTATGAATGATTTGCAAATATGGTTTATGAGTAATATCAGTTTAAGTAAGTTAATAGTGAATTCTTGAGCAAATCTACTGCGAGAGGGAAAAAAAGGTGTCACTTACCAGAAGACTGTGTCAGTGTGTGCTCCTCCTGATCTAAGTGACAAGTTGCTGCACACCACACAGGAAACTGACGAACTCGAGCTGTGAAACGCTGGTTTGCCAACAAACTGCTGCTTCTGAAGATGACAAAGATCTGTGGTGATTGACTGATAAACTCCGACCATTAACGAGAACTTCTGCTCTGTTTTGAGGCCGACGGTGGCTGTAATCACGAAGAGATAGATCACTGGAACATGTCACTGTTTTGAGGGGAAAGCTACGAATTAGTTTCTCAGTTCAGCACAGTTCAGAGAATTCACGCAGCTGTCAAAATTGTTTAGACCCTGCTTTCGTAAACACCCAAAATGCATCACATCCTTGTTGTCTCATAGCTTGAGGTTTGCAAAGGGGGATGGTTTCACACAAGAGCCATGACAAACTTGCAGCTGCAAAATCTTGCTTTTTGACTGACCTAAACCCCACACAGAGCTGCATTAGTGGGACAGTAATAAAGTAGTGATGCTGATACTAGTGCATCTTATTGTTTCATCATACAGCAGATATGGCATTAAATGATGACTGTGTGGTTAATTACAAGGGCCGTAGTTTGAGGTCAAGTTGTATTGGATCAATCCCATGACTTGTTTTGCTAACTGTTCCTTAAATCTGTACTAAACTGGGGAAAAAGGTGTTTTAAAGTATGCTGCTCCCTCGGCTTGGTATCAGTTGCAAACTTTTGTTTTATTGTCTGCAGTTGTGTTATTTGTGCTGCTGCCTGTCTTAACCAGGACACTCTTGAAAAAGAGATTTTTTTGAAGATGATTTTTTTGGGGCTTTTTGCCTTTAATGGACAGGACAGTGTGAAGAGAGTGTTGTAGCTATTTAAAAGCCTTTTGTCCATAATCACTTGACCTTGAGACGATCAAGTAGTGTTTAAAAAATGTAAACCATATTGTAACATCACCAGATGCTCTTGAAGTTGCAAAACAGGTTTTGGCATAATGTGAACTCACAAAGTCTGCACAAAGCCAGCAGAAAAATGCAGAGAACTCCTACAACTGCGATTGCTTCTTATTTAACATTACGTAATCACCTGTTGGAGAAACATCTAAGTGCTTATTAAGTCTGATAAATGATGAAAGATTGGGAAATTGCCTTTGACAGCTGATGGAAAAATACCAGTTCTGACATCGTGGCCAGAGGTGCAACATAGCGGACACATGTTCAGCCCATAGAGAGCGATGCAACAGTGGTGTTCTGTGATTTGGCTCTGAGCTGAACTCTATATTGTTGGAAATAGAGTAAAATTTTTTTTTTTCCGAATGATCTAGTCACTGGAGTTCCTTCAGCTAATACATCTTTAAGTGAGATCAATGACTGCCTCACATTTTGTGCAGATTAATCCAAAACACATCTGATAGTCATATATTTCAGTACACATACACTTCCAAAGTTTGAATATAACTTTCTGAGACATTTTATTTCCATTTAATTCTGACTTGAATGAACTTGAAGGCAAAAGAAAACAACATTATGTGATGGTAACACATGAAAAAGGGAGCGATGCCAAACATCTGAAGGTGTAAAAGTAGAGACGTTGGGGTTATATACAGAATATTGTCTTCTATCAGGTCTGAGCGTCTGTCATCTTGGCTGCCTCGGTGCCTGTAGAGGCTAAACTTTGCTTCTGCTGCAGCCGCTCCTCTGCCTTCTGTTTCTGCACTTCTTTGAAGACCTGAGAAGAGACACATACGGCCAAGTGTCAGTGGAGGCACAAACTAACACCATCAGTCAGTTAGATGAGTCTACACATCAACCTACAGAAAGCTTGAGTACCACTCTCTGACACAATATGCACTGTTGTTTTATAAGAGTGGAATCAAATTCTTGTTAAGGGTTAAAGCTTCACCCTAGGGCTGCCCCCTAATAGTGGAGCAAATGTTAGAATTCAATTTGAAAGGACAGACACAGGAAGAGGCCACGCTCAGCAGTCAGTCAGGAGTTACAAACCAATCACAGCCGACCGATATCTTTCCCTTCTTCTGTAAATATTCAGTCTGATAAATACGGAAAAGTTGATCATGTTAGTGCAGGGTTACCCAGAGCTTTACATCTGTCCCACAGAGGATAGGCAGTCAGACAGGAGTCAGGCTAATTTTTACAGTGAGTTATTGATAGGGTTGCCCCCGACTAAGAATTTTCCTAGTCGACCCATAGTCATTTAGCTCCATTAGTTGACGAGTCGTCTGCATGTTTATGATATTAAGTGAATTATTAAATGATATATTTTGGGCGGGGCAACACAATGATTTGAGTTGAAGGTGTGAGAAAGAATAGTATCAGTAACATTGTTAACACAATGTTAAGCCGCCTGTTAATGACGCTGTCGGCAAAGCAGTAATGATTGTGCTAAGTGGCTAATGGGCATGTAGCTACATCCATGTTTCAGATGATACGTCATGTTTGTAGTCGACCAATGAAGATGAGTTTACATATCACCTTGGGTTCGTCCTTCACCTTCTCAAAATGATCCCACAGTTTGGATTTCCTGCCCGACATGTTATTAACTAGCCTGTGGAATAACCGCAGGTACCAGCCCTGGAAATTAATGTGACTTCTGTCTGACAGCTGAGCATGGCCACTTCCTGTGTCTGTCCTTTCAAATTAAATTCCCACATGGTCCAGTCATATAGGTTTTCATTATGACAAGGCGCAGCTCCTGAAAGAGTTTCACATTTGCGACCACTGAAATCTTGCTGACTAATGACCTTTCGGGTCGACTATTAGGGGGCAGCCCTAGTGATTGAATACAAATCATTATTTTGCAGGTGAAGCACTCCTTTAATGCCCAATTGATGACATTATTATACGCTGCAAATGAAAATAACTGTATATCACACATAAAAAATGTATATTTCAACAGAGTAAAGGGGTGTTTGCTACCTTAATGCAGAGGGCCTTCTTGGCCAGCCAGCGCCGAGTGGCCCTTCTGTAGTACTCTGGAGGGAAGGTGTAAGTGATGCCCAGCTGCTCGCACACTTTCTCAAAGGAGTCATAATTGACCAACCTCAGATTTTTTAAAAGCTTTTTCCTGCGGTCAATAGCCATGAGCATCCGTCTCTTGTTGGCTTTGTCCTGGAATGAAGTAACACATAAAACATTGTATGACTCAAACAGGGTTAAATGTGAGGAAGTGAGGACACCAGTTGCAGCCTTGTTTATACCTTCATCTGCGTATGAGGAGTTACTTAATTACAAATGCAACACGGAAACAGGTCAGAGAAACACTATACTATGCTCTATCTGTGTCAGCCATGTTTCGTGTATGATGTAACGTGGAAATTTCCAACCATGACCATGCTAAGCATGTTCTTATTGAATGTGGGGGAGTAAACAGGATATCCTGTAGCTCACACATACCTCACACCAAAGGAAGGCAGAGAGGAAATGTGGAGAGACGTATTCATACATGAAAGTTAACCCACGACACAATACGTCATCTAAGAGTCTTTTTTTTTTTAAAAAACCTGTCCACAGCCTTCCTGCGTAGCTTGCAAGGGAGAAAAATGATGCTGATTCTGCTCCTTCGCTCACCTTGTGGTGTTTCTGCAAGTGCTCCTGATAGTTGCGGATTCTTGCAGTCAAAAGAGCCACTGAGGGAGAAGACATTAAAAGAGGGGCTGAGTCAATATACAGATTAAATATGCTACATCCGATCTTTGCATTTCAGTGAAAACACTTTGTAAAACACTGAAGAAACACAACTCACCCCGGACTTCCACTGAGCTGCGGTCATTCTCATCCCTCTGGACTTTAGCGACCAGCTGCTCCTTTTTCAGCTGCAATTTTTCACTCTGAAGACAAAAACACATGGCTGTTTAATTTCTCTTTTTTTAAAAGATTTTTTGGACTTTTTGCCTTCAATCAACACGACAGTATTAAGTGTGAGGGGGTGGGGTGGGGGGGGGGTGACATGCAACAAGGGGCCACAGACTGGAGTCAAACCCACAGCTGCTGTAACAAGGACATTGCCTTTGTACATGGGACGCCCCCTCTGCCCACAGAGACCCAGTTCTACTTTCTAAAAGTGCTGTGTCAGTGTACATTTCAGGAAACGTAGTCGTTGTAGTCAAAATTACTGGAAAACAAGAAAGCAGAGTACAACATGACGAGGTGATCAGAGGGGACATGTGAACTCACATGACTCGCCAACTCCAATGACAGAAGTCTTTTGATGACATCATCAGTCCTGTCAACAGAAAAATATTGTGTTAGAAGTAATAATAATAAATAAGAATGCAAATTGATAATGAACTGCAAATATATATTTTATTTTACTAATTTCATGTATGGTATAGTATAAATGTGTGTTTACGTCTGAGCGAGGGGCACAGCTGCGTAATCCATCTTCAGCAGTGTTGGAGGAAGATCACTGAGCTGACTCTCAAAGGCTGGAAGATACAAAATGAGTGGATGAAAATCGAGCACTTAAATATTCACTATAGAGGACTGTCAGTTACCTAAAATCAGTTTCAGTGTTTATAAACATGCTTGCTTGCAAAAGTGAAAGTAAAGGCCAACCCCAGATTCACTCTCGTTTGTCGTTTCACCTCGCTTTATATGCTGTGTGTCTTTTGGATACATGCTGCTTACTGTCTGGCATCTGGTTGCTAACTTTTTATAAAGCCCCGACCTCAGCTGAGCGCTGTGTGTGTACATGCTCGGGCTGGGCGATGGAACAACTATACACCATATATTGATATATTTTAAAGCATGATATAAATTTAGATAACACCGTTTTTATCTATATAGGGTCAGGTTGCGTTACAGAAGGCATACCAGTGTGCATCTCTCCTCTCTCACTCTCTCTGCACACCTTCGCCCCACTAACTCACTCGCTCACTCACAAGTTCTCCAGCAACACTAAGAGAGACACAGAGCTGCTCCTCTGTTTAATATGTCTGTTAATTAGTCTACAGCTTGACATCGGTCATATGTTGCATGTGCTACACTAAATCAATCTGTCAGATGAATGAAATCACCGCAGTAGCACATGTGCAATTCATCGCTGCGCTGTTAGTTTGTGTGTGAGGGGGATCATAGAGCTTCGCTGTTCTTCTTGGTAGTTGTAGTCTATTGTGTGCCATTGAGACAGTGCCTGGATGCAGGCGACAGATCTGTTTAAAAAAGAAGCAGCCACAACACAGACGTTTCATATACAAGACATATGTCTTGTATATGAAACGTCTGTGTTGTGGCTGCTTCAGCCTCTTTGGTGATGCTGTGTGCATAAATAAGATTAATAGCCTAAATAAATAAAAAGATTTAAATAATTTTCCAGCACTAGATTAATTTGAAAGACCATGGAGAATGACTTTTTAACTCCCCCCACACAGATTTTGAATTCAAACCTACTTGATATTTTA